TAGCTGTCCAGTTTTGCCAGCACCATCTGTTGAAGAGACTGTCATTTCCCCATTGTATGTCCATGGCCCCTTTATCGAATATTAGTTGACCATATATGTTTGGGTTAATGTTTGGAGTCTCTATTCTGTTCCATTGGTCTGTGGCTCTGTTCTTGTGCCAGTACCAAATTGTCTTGATTACTGTGGCTTTGTAGTAGAGCTTGAAGTTGGGGAGTGAGATCCCCCCCCACTTTATTCTTCCTTCTCAGGATTGCTTTAGCTATTCGGGGTCTTTGGTGTTTCCATATGAATTTTTGAACTATTTGTTCCAGTTCATTGAAGAAAGCTGTTGGTAATTTGATAGGGATTGCATCGAATCTGTATATTGTCTTGGGCAGGATGGCCATTTTGACAATATTAATTCTTCCTAGCCAGGATCATGGAATGAGTTTACATTTGTTAGTGACCTCTTTTATTTCTTTTAAGAGTGTCTTGTAGTTTTCAGGGTATAGGTCTTTCACTTCCTTGGTTAGGTTTATTTCTAAGTATTTTATTCTTTTTGATGCTATTGTGAATGGAATTGTCTTCCTGATTTCTCTTTCTATTAGTTTATTGTTAGTGTATAAGAAAGCCACAGATTTCTGTGTGTTAATTTCGTATCCTGCAACTTTGCTGAAATCCGATATTAGTTCTAGTAGCTTCGGAGTGGAGTCTTTAGGGATTTTTTACGTACAATATCATGTCATCTGCAAATAGTGACAGTTTAACTTCTTCTTTACCCATCTGGATTCCTTGTATTTCTTTGTTTTGTCTAATTGCCGTGGCTAGGACCTCCAGTACTACGTTGAATAACAGTGGGGAGAGTGGGCATCCCTGTCTTGTTCCTGATCTCAGAGGAAAAGCTTTCAGCTTCTTGCTGTTCAGTATGATGTTGGCTGTGGGTTTATCATATATGGTCTTTATTATGTTGAGGTACTTGCCCTCTATATCCATTTTGTTGAGAGTTTTATCATGAATGGATGTTGAATTTTGTTGAATGCTTTTTCAGCATCTACGGAGATGATCATGTGGTTTTTGTCTTTTTTTTTGTTGATGTGCTGGATGATGTTGATGGATTTTCAAATGTTGTACCATCCTTGCATCCCTGGGATGAATCCCACTTGGTCATGGTGTATGAACCTTTTGATATATTTTTGAATTCGCTTTGCTAATATTTTGTTTAGTATTTTTGCATCTACGTTCATCAGGGATATTGGTCTGTAGTTTTCTTTTTTGGTGCATTTTGTTTTTCTTGTGACCAAATACCATGGACTGCAGACATGTATTGCTCATCAGAAAGACTGCCTGCTCCCACTCTCCCCTTAAGCTAAACACATTCACCATTGAATATCAGTCTCTCTGTAATATCTTTCTTTGGGTTTGAGTTCTACGAAAGGAACTGGCTGCTGCCCTGCTGCCCTCCACCCTGTGCCCTGGATCCCCTCTAAGGCAGGCTCTGTCCCGGTGTCAGCAGGCTCTGGCTAGCACTGGGAGTCTATCAGTGCAGGTTTGAAAGGATCTTTCAGACTTTGGAGAAAAATTTGGACATTATGTGTATGGAGATGCAGTTTCAGAGAGGGGTGGACCACAGGAGGTGTTCCACAGAGGTCTGAGCATTTCACTCACTTCATCAGTTACCTAATAGATATCTGTTTGTTATCTGTAAGGTCCCAGGATCTCTGGGAGGTCTCAGAGGCACAAAGATTAAAAAAAAAATTCTGTGCCTGCCCTGATAATCTACTGGGGGGATATTGGTAGAATAAGAATTCACAATACAGTGTAATCCATATTAAAACAGAGTTTTGCAGTATCTGGTGAAGACGGGGAGCCGACAGGAGTGGTTACTTGGCCTGATGGGGCCACGAAAGGCCCCATAGAAGATGTAGGCCCTGGAGAAACAAACCAACCATTTGCCACAGGGAGAGGGATTGGAAGCAGACATCAAAATGAGGAATTTTGTTTCCTTCACATTCCATTTTCCATACAATGATGGGATACAAATATGATCACACCATTCCTGTGCTCACAACCCTGGTGGCATTTTGTTGCCCTCAGAATAACATAAACCATGCTTTACCAGGCTCTGGGAAGCCTGCAGTCACATCTAGGGGGTGCCCCCTGACGCACACCCCAGTGAGGGCTGCTCTGGCTTCACTGAGCCTGGTTCAGCCTCAAGGGCGTCACACCTGCTGTACCCTCTGACCAGAGTGCCCCCTTTCTTGCCCCCCATGTCTGTCCTGCCATTGCCTAATTGAGTCCTACTCACCCTTCAGGCATCCACAGGGAGATTTCCCTGGCTCTCGTTAGGTCTCAGAGCACCCTGCACCCTTTTCCTCTTAGCAATGATCACAGTAGTAATTATTGTTTAAACCCCATCTCCTTCTCCATACTCTAAGTGCCAGGAAAAGAGGGGCTGTGTCTGTCCTGATTGCTTTGTTAACATCAGGCCTGGCCTGTAGTAGATGCTTAATAAATGCTGCATACATCTTTACTGGACAAACGATTGAGTGGTTCACGTACGAGGAGAATTGTTTCTGGAAAGAGGTGAATGCCCTGGCCAGCAGCGTGCTCAGCGCAGGGAGGGGCAGCATTGCCATGTGAGATTGGGCACGATTGTATGTCAAGCTAAGGAAGTTTGGAATTCGTCCCATAGGCAGAAGGAACCATGGAAGGATTATGAGCGAGAGGGTGACTTAATCTGATTCGTGTTGTAGAAATAAGTCTAGGCTAATTGATTCCCGGGTTAACTATCCAGACTTCACTCTGATTTGATTTCCCAGGTTCTCACCCTTCTTCTTCAGCAAAGCGAAGGAAAGCAAGTTTCAGGTTTCATTGGTGGGCCGGTTCACACCTGGGGAGGGACACATCATCTTCTGCTTGCCACCTCCCTCCTCCTCACGCCACTCAGGCGCCTTAGGGACTCTGCATTAGTTTGATTTTAAGGCACATCTGGAGCCCTGGCCCCTGCTGTTCCAACCACAGGGGCCGGGTGCCTCCAGCCTCCACGTCATTGCTCACACCATTTCCTCTGCCTGGACATTCCTCCTTACCAGCTCTGCCTTTGCCAATATACTGCCTGGCCTTCTGGGCCCAGTTTAAGGCCCGCCGTCTCTTTGGAGCCTCCCTGACCACTGCAGGCCACCTTGCTCTGTGGGAATCACAAAACACTCACGTTCTCTGTCCTTCAAAGCTGCACAAAACTATGCAGCCAAGCCATGGTTATTTGGGCCCACCTCCTCTTTAACTGAAGGGTAAACCGAGGAGGTATGAATTGTTCGGGTCATGTGGGTGGGGAGACAGCTAGACCGGGGCACACTCCAGAGGGCCTGACCGCAGTCCTTTGTTTTCCCTACATGGCACTGCCCAATGGGCCCTTGAGCACAGGGTCTTTGGTATTATTTGACTTTTCAAGCACATGACCAGTTTCTTCAATAAAATCATGAGTTCCTGGGAGAACTGGACCACAGAGCATCTCAGTTACCTGAGTATAAATGTCTAGCACACAGTAGTTATTCAATAAAGCATTGCTGACTTAAGACGTTTCACTTGAGAAATATCTCTTTGCTCTCTATTCACTTCTGCTCCATTCATTAGGGCAGTGATGGCCTGGGAACAAGACCATTGATTTAGAAGCACCAGGTGAGGGCTGGAACGGCCGGCCTGATTACTGGCCATGCGCCATTAGGTCTTCCAAGAAGCAGGTCTGGAGCAGCATTTGGGAGGGTGTCAGGGTCTTTAAAAGGGCGGGCTGTGCTGGTTTCTCTCCACTGCCAAGCCCCTTCTCTTCCCCTACCCATTCTCTTTCTTTCAGGGTCTGTTCTGTGTCCTGGAGGTGGACCTCATCTGGAGAGTGTTGCCTGGACTCCCCGGCTGTCTGGTGGACTCAGTGGGTAGAGAGAGCTGGAGTGGGAGGTAGGTATTTATCCCCCTGGCCCCTTCCATCCCTGCCTGCACTTCAGTCAGGGGCTGCATCCATGCAGACAGCTCCCACCGGCTGGCTGCTCTCTCACACCCTCACTTTCACCCGTGCAGGTTACCCCGGTCCTTGTCCCATACCCTTCAAGTACTGTGGCAATGCCGGCTTCCTGCTGTTGCTGGTCCCAGGTGCCTCCCATCCCTTGGTGATTTCCCACATCCCCTAATAGGCCCTGTGTCAACTTCTCCTTTGAGCATGCCATCTGTTCTGCTGGAAATTGGTCTGATAAAAGGTCTGAAGGAAATTCACAGAACCAGACTGGGGGGCAGGAAGACAGTGTTCCTCCCCACCCTCCCGTTCTCAGCTAGCCCCGTTGGGGTCACCTGCCTTTTTGAGAGGTTTTTATTTAATTAAAGACACTTTCTTCAAAAAGTGAGTAAGATGTCACAACTCTCCATGGAGCTCACAGTACAGTGGGAATGAGAAACACAAACTCCACTTGGGGGTGGGTGAAGAGGACAAGGTGGGCATGCCGGGCATGGATGAATGTGGAGGCCAGCAGCCACATGCCTCTGAGCTGGGATGGACCTTGATGCAGAAAGAACTCTGGCTTTGGAGGTGGAGTATGTGCTTGGGCCTAGGGTCCTTTATGATCCTCAGAGCCTTCTTGTGAACTGGGGAAAATCACACCTTGCTCGGAGGCTTGCTTTAACACACAGGTGAGATGCCATATGCAGAGTACTAGGGCCGGGGACCCCTTCATGAGTGCTGGAATTAGCAGCTTATAAGTCCTGGGGTGATCAGGGTAGAAGGACCTGGCACAGCAGAGTTGATGTATAAACATTTGGTGAATGAATGAATGAATGAAAGGAGAGAAGACAGAGCAGCCATCCCCATGGGTGGGGGTCGGCTCCATGCTGAGCCACCCAGAGGTGACTCCAGTCTCCGAGGACACGACTCCCCCCACCCGTGGTGTTCTTCAGCACAGACTGCTGCCCAGCAGGGACCGAGAGGACAAGTGGGTGGGCCAGGGCGGGAGTGGCTTAAAGTAGCTGCCGATTCTTGGATATTCAGACTTATGCCTTTGATATGGACCCAGAACTTACTGGTTTATTTATTTCATAGTTAGGAACCAAGACAATGGAGGATGGAAGACATCAATTTCATTAGAAATAGGACTTTTTTCCCCTTTCTTTTTTTGTCTTTAAAAACCCTGGGCAACTGACCTAGTTTTTCATTCCCTTTGAACTCAGCTAAGGCAGAGCTTCTTCAAAGCGAGGTTGTAACATTCAGGTTCTTTGCTTTATGTGGCTCAGGGTGCCTCCTCCAGTTACTGAGAAAGATGAGCTGTGAGTACCATCATTTAAACCTGCCTGGTACCTAGAACTCCTGGAATTTTCTGTTTCTGCTCCCTTGCTAGCTTTCAGTGCTCAAGTCTTGACAGTGAACAGGAAAACTGTGGCAGAGGAGATATTTACTATCTGATGTTATGTTACATGATTCTCCCAAGGAAGAGAAAAGTTCTGCAGGTGTCTTTACATTACTGCAGTCCCTGGTGGTGGTGTGCAGGGGTTAGCTGTCTTTCACACCACCTGGCCAAGAGTCAGAGTCAGGGAGCCAGTTTGTGAACAGTGTGATCTTGGATAAGTCACAGCCTACATGTGATTCTTCATCTGAAAAATTCCTTCAGTGGTTGGGGGGGTCATCTTACAAGGAATCCTAAAAATAGAAACATGCTTCCTTTTCTCAGCTAGCACTAATATTTCCTTGCTGTGCCTTCTCTGCAAGAAGCAGGGTTGGGTGAAGACACAGCAAGAACGAACAGTTTTCCCCCAGCGATTTGAGCTATTCTTAACAGCTAACCTGCTTCCAAATCTCTCCAGGACTGGTGTGCTTTAGGTTGAAATTTCATCATTAGAAAGTCATTCCTTTGAATGGGACATGACTAAATTCAGAAGTTTCTAGTTAAAATGCATTTTGGCACTAGCTATTTGAAGAGTTTAGTTGATCAGACAACTTTGCAAAGAGGTTGCTGGCTGAGGGGACAGCAAATCAGGTAGATACAATCTGAACGCGCTGGGGGATGGTAAGTCTGGAGTGCTGGAGGGCCTGAGTGCTGCTTGGGGCAAGACTCCCATTCCTGCAAACGAGCAACCTGGGCGAATATCCCGGTTGTGGTGAGGCCTGGAGGGCCCTGCTTTCATCCCTTCTACTAAGTTCAGCTCAACATTAGACTTCAACCCTCTGTCCCCGCTTTCCATCCTCCATTTTCAAGACCCCAAACTCATGAACAGAATCTTAGGGAACCCCGGAGCCCAGGGCAGATGCGGTGTACATCTCAGCCCTCCCCCAGCTGTAGGCCTGTTCCCAGCTCTCTGCCCCCAGCGCAGAGGTGCTTCAGGTACTGCTGGCAGCCCAGGGCCCAGGTGTGCTCCCTCCATCCTCTAATGCAAGATGGCTCTTACACGTTTTAACAAATAGCAGGAGCACCGAGGTAAGGATTTTTACCTCAATATGAACACTGTAATTTCAGCCTTTTAGGGCAACCAATGTATGGAATCAAATTCAGCAGAGAGGATACCGAGTTGAGTTTCCTTGGTGAGCTGCCGCTGCCTGGGTGAAGGAATGTTCTGCAAGGACTCAGACTGGACACAAGACTGGAGCCCCCCTGGGCTCACTGCTGTTAGAACACAAGGGGCAGTTCCTGGAGCTGTGCCAGGGAGCAGAGCCCCAGAAGGAGAGTGCCGTCTCCCTCACTCAATCACACGGGGCTAGAATTGATTCCCTACTGTGCCTGAACCTCGAGAAGTGTTGGGGGAACCTCTGCTGCCACCAACACGAATGTTCTCTCCAAGGCTACAAATGATGGCTAATATTTACCGAGTGTTTACTAGGCGCTTTGCTGAGCACTTTAGGCAGATGGTTGCAATTGATGCCTGGAACAACCTGATGACGTAGGTGCTCTCATTCATTCATTTTTACATATAAAGACACTGAGGCTTAGAGAGGTTGCCCTGCCTAAAGACTTCAATTGAAAATAGGAAAGTGAGGGTCTCCTACTCAGAGAATCTAAGTCCTCAGCCAGAGCAGCCACCGTGGCTCCCCACTTACTATCAGCAGGCAGCTAGCTCTGGCCTTCGGGGTTTGTTCTTGGGACAGTGGGGGAATAAACCTAAGTGACGGTGGCACATGTGGTGGGTATTATCAAAGGGGCTGTTCCAGGGTCTGTGGGGGTATTCATCCATTCATTCAAAAAATACTTCTCAAAAGTACCAACTAGGCTGTGTGCTGGAGGTGTGGTGGTCATGGCAGTGTGCACAAAGAATTTAAACACTCAGCCCTGGATTTCACAGAGATTCTAGTGCAGACATGGAAGGCGGATATTAATGAAAGAGCCACAGAGAGCAATGTAGATTTACTACTGAGGGGACTGGGTAACTCACATCCTGATGGGATCAAATAGGACTTCAGAGAGGATGCGTTTGATCTGGTCCAGGAATAGGATGAGTCTGTAAGGTGGAGGGAGCAAGCCTCCAGGACGTGCAAGGCTCCGCGGTGTGGACGAGCAGGTGCGCAAGGCCTGAAGACCTTTGCAGGGGTTCCGACGGGAGCACGGGGCACGTGGATGGGAGGGTCTGGACAGTCAGGCTGGGATGACCTCACAAGGGGCCCTCGTCTGTCAGGTAAGGAGCCACCGGAGCTTTACATACAGGTTGGGGGTGAGGATGGGGTGGGCCAAGGAAGGGGGCGCCACATGTTTGTAGTTTGGGGAGGAGAAAGTTCCAATTTACCCCTTCTAGTTGTCCTTGGGCTGAAGTGAGATGGATGCTTTGGTGCTCAATTCAAAGACTGGAGGCTCTGCAGGGAGGAGGGTGGAGATTATGGCTGGAGGGAGGATTAGACATCAGTGGTTCAATGACAGTATTTACAGAGGACGAAGTTGAGGTCTAGGAAGGACAGTGATTTTACTAAGAACTGGGGGCAATCGTGAGACTGTACACATGTTTCTCAAGGGTCAGTCCACTGCCTTTTGCAGTTCATTGATTGATCAACCCTTCCTGAATACCCACCACGTTCCCTGCACACTTGAGTGTGGGCTTACCTAGAGTCAGGAACTTCTCAGTGATTGGAGTAGGTGCTAGGCCAGAGGGCAACTCTTTTTGGGTAACATTCCAGGCTTGTATTTCCTGTTTTGGGGCCTCCTATGCTTGGGTATCCTGCTAGCCCCTCGAAACTCAGCATCCCCTAATCAAACGAATTACCTTGACCTTCAAATGTAGTTGGCTTGCTCATTTTCTATTTCTATAAAAGGAGCCTCTGCCCTTCCCAGTCTAAAATATCACGAAATGACACATAGAACACTTAATAATGAATAAGAAGAGATGGTTGTTCTAAGAATGTACATACTGGATAATTATGGTAATGATGGTCCAGTCACAGGAGGAAAAAAAGAATGAGTATTGGAAGGAAGAATTTACTCACAGAGCTTAGATGGGGTCATCTGTCTAACACGACACACATGACCGCAGGGGAGTGCCAGGTGCGGGTCAGGAGGCAGAGGATGGAGTGAGAGGAAAGCTGAGCTGGAATCTTTACTGGGGTCTCCTTGAGCAGAGCAGAGCAGGAAAACCCACTGAGGATTATCTAGTTGGAAGGGTCCTAGCTGACCCTGAGCTATACAGGTGGTCCCTAGTTACCTGGCACTCAGCCCTGGGGCAATTGGGGGCGGAGGGTATATTGGCCTGGTGTACAAGGTAAGTGAGTTGGTGGGTATAGATTAATGAAAGATGTGCTCCTAACAAGTTATTTACAATTTCTAAGACCTGGCTAGCCCTGGGAGGGGCAGTCTCTCCCCTGCCAGCAAGCATTTTAAGATGGTAAAACATCATAAAATACAGAGGAAAAAAATCCCACGATTAGTACAGTAGTTTTTCTGTTCCCGTTATTCCCCATACCCAATATCTGGTCATTTTCCTGTGTTCTCATACTATCTGAT